AGTTCCCTCAGCCTCTCCTTGTAAGTCATGTGCCCCAACCCCCTAATCATTTTTGTTGGCTCCACTGGACTCTCTCCAATTTGTCCACATCCTTTCTGTAGTGGGGGGCCCAAAACTGGATGTAGTACTCCAGATGTGGCCTCACCAGTGCTGAATGGAATAATCACTTCCCTTGATCTGCTGGCAATGCTCCTACTAATGCAGCCCAATATGCCGTTAGCCTTCTTGGCAACAAGGGCACACTGTTGACTCATATCCAGCTTCTCGTCCACTGTAATCCACAGAGGACGTTTTCTGCAGAACTGCCGTTTAGCCAGTCGGTCCCCAGCCTGTAGCAGTGCATAGGATGCTTCCATCCTAAGTGCAGGACTCTGCACTTGTCCTTGTTGAACATCATCAGATTTCTTTTGGCCCAATCTTCCAATTTGTCTAGGTCACTCTGGACCCTATCCCTATCCTCCAGCATATCTAACTCTCCCCCCAGCTTAGTGTCATCCGTGAACTTGCTGAGGGTGCAATCCATCCCATCATCCAGATCATTAATGAAGATGTTGAACAAAAACGGCCCCAGGACCGACCATTGAGGCATTCCGATGCCAACTAGACATCGAGCCATTGATCACTACCCGTTGAGCCTGAGGATCTAGCCAGCTTTCTAGCCACCTTATAGTGCATTTATCCAATCCATACTTCTTTAACTTGCTGGCAAGAATAGTGTGGGAGACCATATCAAAAGGTTTGCTAAAGTCAAGGTATATCACATCCACCGCTTTCCCCATATCCACAGAGCCAGCTATCTCATCATAGAAGGCAATCAAGTTGGTCAGACATGACTTGCCCTTGGTGAATCCACTTGACTGTTCCTCATCACCTTCCTACTTCAAAATGGAGTATTTGAAGACCTGCTCCATGATTTTTCCAGGGACTGAGGTGAGTTCCCCGGATTCTCCTTCTTCCCTTTTTTAAAGATTTGTTTTTGACAAATCCATGCTGACTGTTACTTATCACCTTATTATCCTCTAGATGTTTGCAAACTGATTGCTTAATTATTTGCTCCATTATCTTTCTGGGTACAGAAGTTAAGCTGACTGGGTTGTCCTTATTTTCCTTTTTATAGATTGGCACTATTTGCCCTTTTCCAGAGTTCTGGAATCTCTCCCGTCTTCCATGACTTTTCATAGATAATCGCTAATGGCTCAGATATTTCCTCAGTCAGCTCCCTGAGTATTCTAGGATGCATTTCATCAGGCCCTGGTGACTTGAAGACATCTAAATTTTCTAAATAATTTTTACTTGTTATTTCCCTATTTTAGCCTCTGATCCTACCTCATTTGCACTGGCATTCACTATGTTAGACATCCAATCACTACCAACCCTCTTGGTGAAAACCGAAACAAAGAAGTCATTAAGCACCTCTGCTATTTCCACATTTTCTGTTATTGTTCCTCCTACCCCCCTCACACCCCTATTGTCACCCTCATGGATGCAGGTTGAGCTTGGTGAAGAACTCTGCCACACTAACCCATTCTAGAAGCCCACGGATCAGTAGGAGAGGATATTGGTTCTTGATGGTAATAGTGTTCCAAGGCCTGATAATCAACACAGATATGTCCTCCTTTTCAATGAACAGGATAGGGGCCCTTGCACGGGATTTGGAGGGTTGACAAAGTTTTTAGCCAGATTCTCATCCAGGTAATCTCAAAGGCTTTTGAGCTTGGGTTCCGATAAAGGGTAAATATGCCCAAATGGGATCTTTTCCTCTGGCTGGAGGTCTACAGGGCAGTCACAGAGTCGATTTGAGGATGGGACATCGGTGTTCTCTTTATCGACCATATCCACAAGGTCATTATACTTGACTGGAATGAAGGAACCAGTATTTCTGAAGTTGGTGTACTACCACGCAGGAAGAGGGTTTTGCCAAGGGCCAGGTCCATCTCCCCACCCCCTAGATCTTCCTAGACATTACAGCCAGCAAAACCTGGAGTTGAACCATACCTCCTGCTCTGCCCAGGAAATGCTTGAGTTGTGGAGGGAGAGCCAGGGGAGGCCCCAAAGTGCTGCAAAATACTCAGATCAAACTGCATAATCTTCTGGTGGTTCTGGATTTTGATCTGGAGAACTGCTATGGGATTTTCTCCTGGGGACACAAAGTCCTGGGACACCCATGTCACATAAAGCAATTATGCAGGCCCTTGTGCTGCCTACCCACCAGCAATTACTGGAGGTATGCAAGTTCAGAATGCAGCCCAACACTTCAGAATCTCTCTATCTCTTTTGAACAGTTTAATTAACAAAGAAATGTATGACTTTGTTCAAGATCCCACTCTTTTCTGTTGCCTGTAATGTTACCTTGCATATGGTATTTTATGATCCATGATGTGCAGCCCTTTGTAATGCCTGCATGGCAGAGGCAACAGAAATAAAACATTCTTAATCTAGTGAAAACAGTGTACAAGAAAAAATAGCTGTCCTCTGCCAGGGCAAGAATGTGAAGTGGCCATACAGTCTGGTCAAATTATGAACCAAGGGTCAGATTTCCAGAGGTATTTAGGCACCCAAATATGCAGATGGGTACCTAGTGGGATTTTCATAGGCACCAAAGTGTTTGAAAATTCCAGTAGGCACCTATCTGCATCTTTATGTGCCTAAATCCCTTTGAAAATCTGCCACTAAGAGCTCTGAAAAGTTACCATGGTGATGAGCAGATAGAAGATAATACATATATAGGGATGATGTATGTGTGGGACAGATCCTTATTTGGGTTTCCATTACCTACCAATACTTTCATCCCAGCATTGGGTTTCCAATGTTCCCATCACCACTGTATATAGGTGCTTAGTTTTCTGAGATCTCTATATCTGATGCAGCCAGATTCCCTACTTGCTCTAGCTAGCAGGTGCACAGAGCATTCTTAAAAAAAAGGGTGCAAACAATATCTAGATGTCTTAGGAATTGTGTAAATTACCCTAAGAGAGGCTACCCTGTGATCTCATCATTAATAAGGCATGGGGCAGGTTGTGATATATGCAGATGGTCAAATAAGTCATTGTAATGCTTGACAAATGCATTGCAAATTTGGCATTCTAGAATCAACCAACTATTCAGGAATAATTGTTTCCTGATATTTGCCCAGTCTAGTTCCGCCTGCAACAACAGGTGCACCACTGTCATCATCCGAGCTGGCAGGAGTATGCTAAAAGTGATACTGTATTATGATACATAGAGCTGTTTGTAAACATTCTCATCCAGGTAAGCTATGTTTTTATTCCCATATACTTCTGATTTACTTTGATAGTTATGGGTAACTATGTCTTCTGGGATTTGGGACTGCATTCCCACTATGTGTAGACTGATATAATCAGCTGCCACTCCGTCTGTGCTCTGCATAATGGAGAACTTTCACATCTTAGCTGATTGCCATGGTTACAGGCAACCTGCTTGGGACATCAGGAACCATAAATGAAGGTACTGTTACAGCATTTAGGTAAACAAACCTCCACACTGAAACCATACCCCAGGTTGCTGACACAGCAAATGCACAAAGGTTTGATAGGAAAATAAGGTACGGTTTATTATTTTGAGTTTCAGAGCAACTTAGCTTTTTACTATGAGCTCTGAGGGGTAGGGACAGGCTGCACGACCCATTAACCCCTCCTCTGGGTCCTTCACTGGCTGCCTATTTGTCTCCTAATATGTAAGAAAATGGCCTTTCTTGTTTTCAAAACACTCAACCACACCTTTTAGCACAAAGATATGCTGGAGCTGGAAACTTGGCAGGCATGTAGGAATTGATCCAAAGCCTTCTATCATCACTGGGAGTCTTTCTGTGGGTCCTCTCCATGGTGGAGAATACTTCTTTCCAGGGTATAAAAGCAGGGGGAAGTGTGGCTTCACTGGAGAGCCACAGCCTTTGTGGAGCTACAAGATCTCCACACTAATGACCCTGTCCTCCACTTAATCAGCCATGGTTCAGGTGGGCCCCAAGGGATCCACAAGATTTAGTGAACACTATGCAGCCAGTTTGCTAAAAGGGTAGCTACATGGAGTTTTCTTCCCTCTTAGCTCCTTCTTCTATATCTTCCCCTGTAGGGATAATCGGGCCCTGTGTTAAGCACAGTTGTGTGGTTTTCTCTATTTGTTTTGTTAATTGTATATCTTAATATACTTTTCCTTATGTTATAAAATGTACACCTAAAATCCACAGGATGTACATCAGCACTGGGGGCTTGTCTACACAGTGCAGCAATGCACACGAGAGGGTTATGATTTCCAAAGCGAATCAAGATGTTGAGCACTAACTGGAACTTTTAGTTTGCACCAGCAGGGTCAACACAGGCCAGTTAGTGCATAACACTTTGGTGCACTTGAGAAATCACACCCCTCTAGTGTGCACTGCCACACTGCCTGTGCATTTCCTGATTTTGTGATTTTTGCTGTGTAGCCATAATGGTGCATTGGTGCTGTCTTTTGCACTTAACTTTCCTTGTTAATAAATATTCATCTTTGTCATGCAAGACCTTTTAAAGGAGCACATGACAGGTCAAACTGACCCAAAATTTAGGTTTTGTGGAAGCAAGTTTTGCAAAACGTACGCCCAATAGAAAAGTTTCAAGGTTTGTTTTTAAAGAAATAAATGTGCCTGGGTAGCATTTCCATCCCAAATACGGAAAGGTTGTGCAAATGAATGCTCCAGGCTGAGAGAAATGCAAAATATAAACAAATGGCATAAGTGGTGTAACATTAATTAGATTTCTTAAAAATTCCTTCATTTACATCCTTAAGGTTTAAATTCATGCATAACACCATTCTTCCTCTTTGTTAAAGACAATAAAGTTTTTAATCAGTATCTTCTGACTGACCCTCCTGAAGATTTTTGTCCGACATTTTATCAAAGTATTAGCATATATTAACTATTCTCTCATGAAGAGGCAATGTAAGATGAGTACCCTTAAAACCTGTCCCTGCTTAAAATCTCTTACACGCTTGTTGACTTCTCTCACCATAAGATGCTGGAAGAGCCAGGAACGCATTATATTGGTAGCGTGCTTCGGTAGGACCCCCCGTTTGTTCTTTGACTTTTTATCTTCACTGTCAAGGAGGGAGGTCAGATCCAGGTTAACCTACAGGGCAGGAAAGGAGAAAGAAAAGCTTAAATAACAGTGCAGGTAAAATTGTGTTGCCATGGTGACAAAACACACAACGGCTGCTTGATTTCATGGTGACTTTGCTGGGCTACAGAGCTTTCTGCCATTCACAGAGGTAAAAGCAAAATGGCTTAAGATGAATTTTATTAAAGTCTTTCTTCTGTAACCTGGTGTAAAATACTCCATTTCTCAATGAAGATGTAGGATTGGCAAATGGAAAAAAAGAGATTTTAGTGTTTCTTTACTGGAGGTGATGTGGTAAATAGTAACTACTTCATCACTCTTGCTTGCACCTGTTGTTGTCATTAAGTTCACATCAAAGTGTTTGAGCTGTGTCAGAGTCCTTGTCTGCACTTGGGGATAATCTCAATTCAGCAACGGGGGGGCCAGTGTTAGGTGCAGCTATACCACTGTTAATCCCTATTTGCCCCAGTTTTCAATCTTGATTAGCTCAATCAATGCAAACTCCAGCTTGCCTTTGTCTACCCTGAATGCTCAGCAGCGATACAGCTCTACTGGCTGCTAAACTGGGGTTGTTCAAAGTCTAATTAGAATATGGAGGTGTTGGTAACAGAATGTGCTATGTCTGTATATATGTAAATAGTTAGTAACAGGTAAGGTGCCAGTACATGGCAATTTAAGAATATGTAGCAGAGTTCTAGGGTATTGGGTACTGCAAATGGATTCCTCTGGCAGCTCATTACAGGCGGTTCTGGTCTTGCCGGACTGCAACTACAATGAATCTGGCAGGCAACCCTGATCAAACTTTCCTACTGAAAAAATATTACAATTTGGCACGACTGACCCTAAGTGCCAACGCAAAGTATCATTCAAATATGTTCCCTACAGGCCCAAATGCTGTCTGCATTGCCCACATCAGACACAGAATACAGTTAGCCTTAGGCAGTAGTAGCAGTAACTACCTTTTCTCTGAACAACCATTTGCTGCTTGAGATGAAAACCCTTAATCTATTAATGAATTTTAAACATGTGAGTCTCAATCAAATTATTCCCAGAACAGCAGAGAAACATGTTTTTAAACAGAAAGCCGTGTGTGTATAAATATGTAACCCCCAAGGAGATTCCTGGGGTTCTGAGTGATGGTAGTTCAGCGAGAGGCACGTTGTCCCTGGTAGGGAAGGAAGGGGGCCAAGGACAGACTCGGAGTCTGCTCGGCAACCCAGAGGGAGAGAGGAGAGCCACTATGTAGAACAACAAGGGCCCTGTTGGTTTGAGGAAGGATTGCAGGAGCCTGCTCAGAGCAAATGATTGACAAGGGAAAGCCAAGGAAGAAGAGCTAGCCTGACCAATAGGGAGTGAGATGCCCTTCCCAGGGAGCCCTGAAGGGGGGAGAAGCCATTTTGGGGAGTAGTCTGCAGCCAGCCAGGGTAAGGGCAGGATGGCCTGTCAGGGGTGGGGACGACTGGTGAGTCCCAGGCCTGCATGCAGGGTTCCCCCTGAGAACTGGCCTCTGGGGACCTGAAAGCAAGATCCCTCAGCTTGAGCCTTTCCCGTTCCAAGGCAACACCCAGCTTGTAGAGTTTTATTGGGCAAACTTCCCCCAGCCCAGCTGAGTTAGCCCCCCAGCCCCCTAGGTGAGATCAGTCACCACATGGCCAGCTCTGCTCCCGGGCTCGTCCAGGGCTGCCGCCTGCTGGGAGTGTGTCTGAGCACTGGGGCAGGAGACTACAGTTTGGAGTTTAGTAGAGTTATTGTAACCTGCACCGTGAGCCCTGCACCCCTTAGCTTAGTGGGGAGGGGAAATCCTGGCACCAGAAGCAGCCTGACTCCTGCATGGAGAGGACGCCTGCCAGCAGCGCTCATCAGCCCCTCTGATGAGATGGTCCAGAGCCATCTCCGAACCTGCGGATCCGTTGTGGAGTTGTGAGTGCACCATCCTTCAGTTAGCTAGTCAGGGAAATTGTCTGGAAGACCCCTACTCCCTGAACTGTGTCCTCAAGCCCGGGGGGAAAGATCTGGGGATTGTATCACCTGCTGTCTATTCAATCTGCAGAGGGACGTACCACCCCACCACGTGAGAGTCCTTTGGGCTGTATTGAACCCAGTCAGCCACATTGCTAGCTGCTGCACCAATGATCTCGTGGTCACAGTCATCAAGGGCCCCTATGAAGTACACGTACCAATGGGACACTAACTGTGCGTTTGCTATATCAGGTCACATGACTGGGGAAATTCACAGGTATTATCAGCATGGACACCAGTGACCCTGAAAATATGTTTTACCCTGTTATGTTATATTTACCTTCTGTTTAATAGAATTACTCTTACGTACATTGTAATGTGTTTGTGTTATCGCTTGGTAGTCTGCAACTATCTGCAAGTCAGTGGGGGTTACCCTGTGATTAGAATTTTCCTCCCAAGCTGCCCTGGTGACCCTGCCAGGAAGGAGCAAGGCAGGTGGAGGCACTGCCAAATACATTCATATGGGAAGAAAAAGAAGTTACATTCTGTTGAGTGGATGGCAGGATCCAGAAGAACCCAGGCCTGTCCATCAAAACCCATAAGGAGCTTGGCGCTAACGGAGGTAACCAGGTGGATGGGGGCACTATATATATTCTTGGGAAGCAGAAAGAGAAGAGTTTTAATGAGGTTGCAGGAAACTAGCTGAAATCTCAACATCAACTTAAAGCCTTTTCTTTCCTTTCTTTCTTTCTTTCTTTCTTTCTTTCTTTCTTTCTTTCTTTTTAAGGTTCTTCATCAAAACACGTCTCCTGTATGAATTAAACATCACTATGGCAGCCCAGTGTCAGGTATAAATGATTCCCTCAGGCAAAGATTGTGATGTATTGCAGGGCCTAGGCAGAATAAATTACCCAGGCAGTACAGGAATAGCATCAGGAGGTGCTTGTCCAGGGCTCTGTCACTGCCACAATATTCCCAGCATACTTGTATTTCACACATCTGATCAGTTTCGCTCTGTGATCTGAGCCAGCAATTCCCTTTATGCATTAAAAAGAACCTAGATTTGGATTTTATTTTTTCTTCCTCATCCAGGCTCAAAGAGCTGAGGACAAGGTAAGGACCAGGGAGACTGCAGTAGTGAAAAATGCACTTCCGAGAGTTTTATTAAGCTTTGTAAAATAAGAAATAAATGCACGAATGTGAAAAGAGGGTGAGTGCAAGTTCAAAGGGCTCAAAGGCTGATCAGGTGCTATCTGGTTTCAACTGGCGCAGTGTGAAATGTTGAAACTGAAATGCAGGGTCTCACCTGTGTAACACTAGAAGGTATATGATTTTCCCCAGATCAGAGCATGCCAGGGGAAGAGACTAACTGGAATTCATTTGCAACAGCAAGAAATACCTACACGGAATTTACCTGGGACTGTGGCAGGATGAACAAAATTAACTACTCTGCTCTAAAAAGCTAGGGTCAAAAGAGAGTAACAGAGTCTGCACTGGGATCGGATGGGGAGAGAAAAGGGGAGGGCTCCTTCGAGCTCTTATTCATTCCCTGGGTGCTTTTCTATATCAAACAAAGCAAGAGGGTAGTTTGTGCCCTCTATGTTACCCTGTAAATGCAGAGGCTGCATTATTACTCCTGGGAACCTGCGACTCTTCAGGAAGTTTGATCCTGGGTCTTACGCTTTGTATTTGAATAGTTTCAAGTCCCAGTGATTTTTATCACCCCAGCCCATGTTGTTAGGGACATAAAGAAAGTCGATCTCACCAGATCTTTCACAGCCTCCCATCCATCAGGTAGCTTTTCTGGAGAACACATGAGTAAGGCTGCGTGTCTGTCACAGAGGTAATGGAAGTCATGGATTTGGTGACTTTCCATGACCTCCGTGACTTCTGCAGTGGCCAGCAGCAGCAGTTTGGGTGTGTGGGAGGGGCCTCAGGGCTGGGACAGGGGGTTGGGGTGCGTGGCCGTGCTTACCTGGGGGGGAGGGGCGCTCCCCAGCTCCCACTGACATGTCCATGCAGCTCCTAGGTGGAGCGGCCAGAGGGGCTCCGCGTGCTGCCCATGCCTGCAGGTGCCGCCCCTGCAACTCCCATTGGCTTTGGGAGCCGGCATTGTGGTGGGAGCAGTGCGCGGAGCCCCCCTGGCCGCCCCTCCCCCTATGAGCTGCAGAGACATGCTGGTCAGAGCCAGATAGGGAGCCTGCCAACCCTCCCCCCCCTGCAGGACCAGCAGGGGTCCCGGGCCACACGCCGCCACCTGGCCCCCCCTCCTAGCACCAGCAGGGGTTCTGGGCCGTGCGCCGCTGCCCGCCTCCCCAGAGCACCCGTGGTCCCCCCCAACTCAAGTTTTAGTTAAGGGTATATAGTAAAAGTCATGGACAGGTCACAGGCCATGAATTGATGTTTATTGCCCGTGACCCGTCCATGACTTTTACTAAAAATACCTGTGACTAAAACATAGCCTTACACATGAGTGATGATTACTCATGAGTGATGAGCCTTACACTGAATTCTCCAAAACGTTCATGTCTCAAATGAGCAGGTCTCCCCCAACCAAAAAGAATTAAAAATTATAAATAATGGATGGCATCTCCATACCTTTGGGAGTTTTAGCCTTGGGTGCAGGCAGTATTATGGAAGGCTGCCACTTCCATAGTTAAGGTTGAGAAGAACTTTCTGTTTAAGAGCTGACTTTCAAAGTGCTGAAAAATCCACTTCCCTAGGGGTTTGTCATAAAATGTGTTATGCTACAAGAGGGACTGGGGTATACATTGCGCTATAAATTTAGGGTTATTTGTTCAAGGGGTTCCCAAAGTATAGGCCCTCTCCAAAAAATGAGCGCTTTGAACATTTTCAGATTTATATAACTTTTTTTGCTGAGCGCTACAGAAAAACGATGGCTCTGTCCCTCATAATAATATTGTGGTGGATTGAAAACTGATATGGCATGATATTTTGATTAAGAAACTAGAATGACACAAAATCAACTTGGCACACATTAAATGGATTAAAAAACACTACTAACTGATAGGTCTCAAAATGTAATTGTAATC